TTGGTCCTGCATTGCGGTAAAAAAGAAAAGCAGCTGAGGGAGTCTTTATATATATATATAATATATATGTAATGTAATCACATGTGTGTGGGGTACACGTCAATGTCTATACAGAGCTTGAAAAAACATACAACTAAAAATCTATCTGGACAGAAAGAAAGATGGAATTGCGTGTCCAAAGTTTTCCCTGCAGTTAGAATGAGTGGCAATAGTGACCAAAGGGCTCCAAAATCCAAATTCAACTTTCAGTCCGTCAAAACAGTCCATATCAGTGAAGTGAACAGTTGCACAATCGCTGTGTCCCGCCAGCCAACATGCAGTGCGCTTTTGATCCAAGAGTGGCGTGGCAAGCGATGATTCCATGGGAAATTTGTTTGCATCCTTTTGCCATCTATGGCAACGCATTCCAACTGTGTAAGTCCTGGCATTTAGCAGTCTCCCGTGCTGTCTTAAGGCTATTGTGCCTGTTGTGGGTAGGCATTCTAACTGTGTTTGCCACATTCACCCGCTTGGAATGAGGTAATTTCGCGGACACGGGTGTCAAATTACAATCATGCGCAATTCCAAACGGCATTCTAAGTTTCGGTCCGTCACTATAGATCCCGTTCCTACCTTTGGATTGCTACCTCTGGATCTTTGCAGTGTACAGTTTTGCTGAACTTATCCTTTGGCCACTCCATGGGGCAACATTTTTGTTACGCAAATGGCTACTTACAGCAGTGCGGCAGTGCCATTTAGGAAGACTGGGCGAGCTGTGGCGGGTGTCACGGAGGAAAGGACCGGTCTGACCAAGGTGTAACCTTGTAACCACTGGCCAAGCTGCATTGACGGCCATTCCAAGGTGACTCACGGAATTCAAGTCGCTTGAGTCGTGCCAAAGATGGAACAACTCGCAAACTGGTGAACTCGGAGAACTGGAATGGAAAAACAATGGAATACACTCGCTCAAATATCTTTGTACGTTTGGTCTCACGGTCCTGTTGCACTTCTGATCCGCAGCGCTTTAGGTATTGGGTTTCGGACTGTAGCGTTCCCGTCACTGCGTAGCCTAGACAGAACAGGTTGTTCAATTCTTTAGTACGCAGCCTTCGCACACGGTCAAGGGACTTTCGCTATGATAAGTAAGACGGACATACCATGACATACCCTTATGTATGTTTGCGATGTGGGATTATGCTGACTACCAGCTGGTCATCAAAGATGAAGTGCAAAAGAGTCCCTAATCGCAGTATCCCTACATCCAGAGCACACTCCTGGTTTATTGTGTTGTTCTTGATCATGGGCATGCAGTGCAAGATATGGTACGGCACATGGGGACTTCGCGTGTTGGGAAAGTGGCATGGCATGCCACATGTTGTTTAGTTGTCGTCATGAAATAAGAGAACTGCACTCTCTAACTCAATTGCAAACAAAACATTATCTTCGGTTCATCCAGTTCAGCTGACGCTACCTGAGTGGTTGTTTGGTTCTGCGTTCCGCCGTGAACTCAGTTCCCGTTCTTGGTTGCTTGTTTCTTTCGCTAATTGAGTTTGTAGAGGAACCGTGACTTGGGAAGCTTTGGAAGCCTGCAGCATAAGCAGTTACCCCAAAAACCTATGAACCACATGAATAGTGCGAGCGAGGGCTTCGTTGAAGAAGCCTGAGCTTTCCTGCGTCCTAGCTCCTAGTAGCTTTGTAGATATTATATAGCTTACTTAAGTCTCCGGCAAACAACAAAAGCTTCGAAAAGCTGTGCATGTGAGCAGCTGATGTGAGCCCAGTGCTTTTGAGAGCCTTGGGAGCCGTGGGAGCTTAAGTGCCCACGTTAGTTTTGATGAGGAGGGTTTGTTTAAGGTTGAGGGATGTTGAGGGTGTATTAGTATTTGTGTTCGAAGAAAGCCAGTTCTGAGCCTGTGGTTGAGCTGTCCGCCCGACCTCAGAAGCCAGCCTGGATCAAAACGCACCAACCTGACCCTCAAATCTGCACCAGGCCGGCTGGCCTTGGAGCAGTAAAGAGACCTATGCCAGGGGGCCAAACCCATGAAATTGTCCGAAAGCACCAGTTGATTGGATCAGATGGCCAATCAATCACTTGCACTCGCCTACTAGCCGGCTGCATGAGATCCTCGCTGGCTCCTCTCGTACCTTTCGGCTGAACGCTTGTGTGAAACAGCTAGCTGGGAGCACATTCACAAGCATTGGGCCTGCATGAATACTTGATTGCTTTGCATGCTGGGTGGCAATCCAAAAAGCTTGCTGTCCCTTTGAAACTTTGTGCACTAAGATCGTGGAGTGCTTGACGCTTCAGGAGGTCAACCTTGCAGCGAACAAGCTACAAGCTGAAATAGCTGTGTGCCTTCGCGCTGAACAATTTGGAAACACATAAGGTTGGACGAGGGTGCACTGGCACCGTTGGCAGCCTTGCCAGCTCTTCGTAGCCTGAACGTTTCAAGGAAATGAATTGTGCGGCTACACTTTTTGTGTCAACCTTTGTCATTGACATTCTCTGGCAGAGGAACAACATCCGGGACCTGTCACCATTGGTGTTGGCAGCGGTCTTATAGAGTCTTATTGGTCCACATTGCTTGACGTGGCTTAATTTTGCGTTTGAGGCTTTTTTGAGCCAAGGCTCCACCTGCATTGGCCACGCAGGGCCAACCTTTCCCTGCCCTGGAGGTGCTTTCAACCCAGTTATTTCATGTTGGAAGCTTTCGCTACGTCAATGAACCTATCCCTCCCGAACACCCTGTAGTTGACTTTGATGGAAGGCCAGCAAGATCATACAGTCCTGGCGCAGGAGCTGAATGTCTCTTCGAACCCATTGAGCGATGTGACCGCTTCAATGTCACTAAGAATGTCTGGAACTCTGCTCAATGTCACCAAGACTCATTGATTCCAAGCACAGGCACACTTGTTTTTTCTAGGTTGCGAGTCCTGACCGGAGCCGGCCTTGCTGTGACCACTCTCAGATGCATCCACTGCAGCCTGGAGGCTGGAAGGAGAAATCAGTGTTTTGGTGTGTTTGGAGATGCCCTATTGCAGGTGATTGATTTGAGAGGCTGCTGTTTGCAGTCGATTTCTGGACTTCAGGCCGTGAATTAAAAGCATATCTGAAGTCGTCAAATCATACAACTTGACATTTGCCACGCTCTTGCTGCGACTGCGAACCTGCCAACTTGAAGGCCTTGCCATACCTGTCTGAGTTGATCCTTGATGGGAATGCATTGCTGAGCTGCAAGGATTGACCATCGGCACTCTTGGTACCACATCAAGAGAATTTGAAGAACAAACACCATTCCTTTTCCGATGATTGGCGCTATGATTGTGCAGGACGTTCTGGTACATCCTGCACTGCAGGCAGTGTGCCGAAGACTTGATTCATACAACACTTTGTTTCACTTTCGAAACTGTCAAGTGTTTCAAGCTCATTTCTTAATTTTTGAGAAGCATAATTCCGCACTGCGAAATCACAATCCAACATGTGGGCTCTTCTCTAATGAAGTTCCGAGTGAGAATCCGGGAGCAGGGGTGAATTCACCGCAGGAAGGCGACCACACATTGGTGAAGGCCATGTTCAATTTTAAGGTATGGGTTCTATCATGTGAGCCAATCACGATAATATTTTCTTTTGAAGCACAAGCAAAGTACAGTCTTTGCCATGGATGTCAACACAAAGTGACTACTGCTGGTTTAAGCCGAAGATTTGTGGCTTTCCATTTGCCGGACATTGTGAACCGATGTTTCGATTTGTCAGTTCAGGGTTCAGTGGTTCGGTTCTTTGTGTCACAGCCAATCAAGGACAAGGCACAGATCGCTTACCATGCTAATTTGTTTTGCCACAGTTGGAGCTGTTGGAGTCAGCAACATGATTGGACAGACATGACCTGCCAGCCCTTTATTGAGAGAAAGTTATGTATGGGTTCATCCAGCCTTTTGGCAAAACTTTTGGATGGATGAAGAAAGGATCCTTGTAATTTTGATTTGTTCTTCACGAAGCCCTGATGCGATATGCGGTCGCCCAATTGTTTTTGCTCTTCAGCCGTTCAACCCGAAGGCTCTTCGCATAGCGCACAATGTCATAAGCGAGGTTTCTTCGGCCGAGCCCTTGAGAACAGTTGTGCAAAGTTTCTTGCAACATTGAAATATGTTTCTTCCATGTTTCTTGCACTTCAATTTGTTTGTGCAAATTTTTGGTCAAGGTACAGCTACCGTCACTTACAGAGCTTGATTTGGCCTCCAACAGTCTGTCCCAGGAGAGCCAAGAGATGTGGGACATTCAGATTCAGATGAACAAGTGACTGTGAGGTGTTGAATCTTGCTGGTGCTCCACGGTTAACTTCCTTGGTCCTGGGCCTGAGATGAATCTTTGGTCTGGCGCCATACTCGAGTCCTGAGGTGCTGCGCACAAACCAAATGACCTCACTTGGCACCTCTGAGCAATGATTTGTTCCTTGTATCTTGACATTCACCGGATTCGTGTCTTTGAGTCTTGCACAGTCGTGCCAGCTCAGCTTTCAGCTTTGCGGAGCCTCACCTTCCTGGATGCTTCACACAACCAAATCCGTGCACTTGAGACAGCCTCTCAGTATCCTTTGGCGTGCTTGAAAAGAAATGCCTCGAGATATGAGGCCATCACTATGCTGGAGCCTTTGTCCATTGCGAGTCCTGCTCTTGAATGGTTTCTGTCTCAGAGCTTGTGCTATCCATCTGGCCAGTCGTGATGACAAGAGTGATGACAACAGCGCTTTGGAGCCTCCTTGCCTAAGGTAATCAGATCTATGACGTGGAGGACCCATCTCCCCAAGCATTCATTATACAGTATTCACTCTTGCATTGACCCAAGATGACAGTACCCGCCAGCACACAATAAACCATGCCCCAAGGCTGTTTCTACAGGGAGAGGTTCTTAGCCAGGTGTGTGTGTGTGTGTAACCCTTGGAATCAAAGGGAACCTTAAGGTTTGGAACAGGGGGACGGGACACCTCTGGCATTTCCCGTCCAACGAAGAGGATGCCAGCAGGTGCTGATACAGTGGGGGATGCCCCACTGTACCTGTTCCAATATTTAGGAGAACAGGAGGAAATGGTACTCGAC